TCGTCGATGGTGAGTGTCGAGAGATCCAACAGGGTCTCAATCGACACAGCGATTTGGGAAAATCGCTCTAGGACGACGCGCAGGAACTTCTCGATGACGTTCTGCTCCTCGATTCGTTCTCCTAATGTCCCAAGCTTAGTGCTGCATCAGTTAAGTCTAATCTACTAAGTCGTGTTTAGAACCATAATCTCTAGCCTGCTTTTGGATTGCCAATAAGGGTTTCATCGGGGTTTCAGCCGATGAGTTATCTGGACGTTGCATCGGCTTACAAGGATTACATACATATTGGATTTAGGCGATTGCAACAAAAATTTTACTGTTTAATCTAATCTTGTGGATTTAATGACATTAGACCTCTAGTCGATGTATGCTTTAACCATCGGATCAGTACTTATCCTGTCATATTATGATTAGCCGATTGGTTATATTATTGTTATATCATATTATCATCAGCCGATTGCCTTTATATTGGTATTTACATCAAGTGTCAGAATATACATTGGACATATGGCCGATAGCTCAAAACCCTCTTGCTATCGGTTGGTATCGGCATCGGCTGGAATTACTCCATCGGCTTGATAGCCGATCGGCTTATTGATCCGCTGTTTGTATATCTTGTCAGTTGTAGGATCAAACTGATTGGCACGCCCGCATCTCACCAAGATTTGGACCTGCACAGGAGCTAAGCAGATCTCCTAGGCTAGTGTGTGTTTTTCGCGTCAGCAGGGACCTTCTCCATTTCCTTGACCAAGTCGTATAGCGAGGACACCAGCGTGGTCTCGTCGCCATGCGAAGGGATCTTGACCTTGGCGCAAAGCTCCTCCACAACCTGGTAGAGGCTGGTTTAGTTCTTGCGGAGGGCCTCCCGGATGGACTCTAGGTGCTCCCCTGATCCAGCATGCGCCTCTCCAGCCCTTGGCACTGCGCCTCATTCCCCACCACTATTACCTTCATCTTCTGAAGGTCCTCGCGCGTCACTTCGAGCTCATGCTTGAACTGAGCTACCCGTTCGTCCAAGGACGTAGAACGTGTACCCGCACCAGCGATCTCGGCCAACACCTCCCGAGTACCAGCCTCAAGAAGGCGCCAGGCCTCCGCCAGCATTTCCTCCTCTGACAAGGGAGCAGCGGGCGGCGACAAGATCGGAGATGTCACGAGGACGGTGGACGGAGCGGGCGTTGCGGCGGTCGCAGGCGACACGCTGGTCGCAATATGGTCCTCGCTTTGTGCCGAGGACGCTGGAGAGGGCCTGCCAATAAAAACACAAGGAGTCACTGTCGAACACAATATAAAATCGGAATTCCGAGAACGATAGCTTGAGATTTCACTTATTGGTCCTGGCCTTCTTCAGCAACTTGGGAGCAAGGGGGAGATCGCTAGTGCCCTAAATAAAAAGGTAAATAAGGGCTATGTTCTCGTCATAAAACAAGATATCTTCGGAGTAAAGAGTACTCACCTTGGGGAATGAGAACTGGTGCCTGGGGGCAGTGTCACCCACTTTCTCATAGTGACCATGTGTTGCTGCCACTCGGCCCCAATCCGACCACTGTCGTTGTCTCCTGAGAGACTTTCTCCTTCAAGGAGGCGGCGGCCTGGTGATCAGCGAGTGGCCCGATGGCATCCACCAGGGCAGTGCCAGCACGAGATGAAGTCACTTCGCTTCCCAAACCTAGAGAAGACAAGTTGACAGAATCGAATTAGGCACTTACGTTGATAATGGCGGACTTCTCGGCGTCCGCGAACTCGTAAAAGGTGTTGGACGGCTCACCGACACCGGACGCCGGACTTATCAACACTTACCCCACGCGTTGGGACACCGTCTTGTCGCTGAGATCTGCGAAAGGAGACAGGACCATTTCAAGATAATGAATACTACGACATCAAAAGAAGAACATACACGGTGACGCGAGAACGAGTACCCCACGTCGAGATCTACGTCACGTCGGCCTCCCCCCTGTAGTCAAAGGCAGGGTGAGCGTGGGCTTGGAGCGGTTGAATCCGCCGGGCAATGAAGTCTTGAGCGATTTCATACCCAGTCAGACCCCGTTCTCGCAGGCTGCTGATGGTGTTGACAAATTCTTGGAGGGAGGGAGTCAGAGGAGGCTTGGAGGTCCAATCCTGAGAACGCTCAGGCTTGTCCTCTAGGACAATCAAAACAGGGCCGATATCTTTTATTTCAAGAAAGAACCATTTTGACCTCCATTAGCTCCAGGGTGAAGGGCACTAGAAGGGGATGTAAACCGCCTTCATCCCATCTCAGAGACGGAATCTACAGCATCCTTAGATTATGTTGGACTCCATCCACCAGAGCTCATAGTAGTATCGGAAGAGATCAAGGAATGGCACGACCCCAACATAGGCTTAGCAAAGATGAGCAAAAATGCTCAGAAAAGCGATGGAGTTGGGGTTAAGGTGCAAAAGTGAAAGGCCGTAGAAGTTCAAGATCAGGAGGAGAAATTCAGATGGTGGAGGCAAGAAACCACACCGAATAAAATTCTCTACAACTACCATCCGACCTAAGACGGGTTGGGGATTAGTACCTCCTTCCTCCTGCTCCAGGTGTTCACGGCCGGGGAGTGCTCCTTCCACCTACAACTTCTTCATCCCTGCGGTGTCGGTGTTGGACGCCCCGAGATCCATCGCCATCGTAGGACCGCCGGAGAGGAAGAAGAAAGCTAGGGTTTTTCAGGAAGATTGGAGAATCCGAGAGTCCGGGCGCAAAGAGAGTTGGAAAGGCTTTTTGGCAAACGGACTTGAAATGGATCAAAAACTACCTTATATAAGTGCACTACTTGACGGTTTATTTTTCGAGGGAAGGAGAGATATTGCCACCGAAAATTTCTGAAGCCCGTTACTGACAGATTGATTAGACATCAAATTAAATTCACTTATGGACGGTTGAACTTCCTCCAATGTTATCGAGAACTCAAGCCAAAGGACTAACGAACCCACCATAGTTTACGAAGCCGAAGGACTCAAGCCGAAGCCACCGGGAGATCTCGTCGATCAATCTCGACAAGGATCTCGCCGGTATCGTCGGATTTATCTGTTCCCTTTGTACTCTGTGGCTTTCCATATCAATCCCATATAAACTAGACTAGTAATATTACCTTACGAGGGGCCTGAACCAGTAAAATCCTTGTCTTTTTGTCTGCTTTGATGTCATATGACGTAGATCCTCGTACCAACGTACCCCAATACCCTATTTATCCTGTCTACGAGTATCCCTCATCGACAAGTATATCACGGGAATATCGGGTAATGGATAACTCATCTTTAATTGTGCTAAAGAAAAAAAAGTAAATTACAGATTGTACTATGTATTCTTAAAAGTTTTCATATTATGTCATCCTTTAACCATTCTTTTCATTTACAAAACAACTAACTTTACATTTCAATTTGGACCACCCTATTCCATCCATCTCCAAGTCTGATGACTCAGCAACCACTCTGCACAATAACTCTCTCTCTCTCTCTCTCCATTTTCTTTTCCCCTTTGATAGTTGGGGAACCGCTAGATCCAGCAAGAAGGAGCCCGGATCTAGCGTCCTCGCTCTTCTTCATCGGGTCGACTCCTACCTCCCTAAGTCCCTACAAGCCCGACACCACCGACATCAATGGCGACCATAACAATAGTGTGCACTACGAGAGGGGAGGAGAAAAAAAGGGTGGCTCATGGAGAAAGAGCGGTGGTGGCGGTACGTGGAGTGACAATTAGTGGTTGCTGGTGGTATGAGAAGTTTGTAGTCGACACAATCGCTAACCGAGTTTGTTATTTTTTGATATGTGGGTCACCGGCCATTATAAAGAAATAGATAGTTTTGAAGTAATAAAAATATTGAGATAAAGGTGAGAGTACTCGTCTATGATACGTGGGTTCTTATATGTCTATGACATATGGTCCAGGGGGAAATTCTTAATTACCAATAGTACTCCGAGTATCATCCCCTTCCCTTGGCGGCGTAAAAGAAAATCCCCCGTCTCTTTGGCCTCGTTTGTTAGGGCTCCAAACTCCAACTCCTAGCTCTAAATTCCTACTCCAGTGGGAGCTAACTCCTCGGGAAAGAGAAAATTGCATATCTACCATCGCATAAGATGGGATTCGCTCAAATACCATTACTTAAATGGGCTTCACTGAAATACCATCCTCGACCAAGGTGTCTTTGCTCAAATACCATCCTGGGCGAAAATGCCCCTTAGCTCTTCTTCTTCCTCCCTCCCTCCCTCCAATCGCTAAATTGGTCGCCGGCGGTCCGTCGCTCATGTCGTCATTGGCCGGCGAGTCAGAGCAGGGTGGCGGCGTGCGACGGCGGCCGACCGAGACGACACAAGCGAGGCGGCGCGCGATGGCGGCCGATGAGTCGGGGCGTCTCCTCCCCCCCTCTCTCTCTCTCTCTCTTGTCGCGATGGCGGCGGCGGCGATCGCGACCGGCGAGGGCGACGAGTCGGGGTAGGGCGGCGGCGCGCGACGGCAGCCAGCCGAGACCACGCGAGCGAGGCGCAGCGGCGACCGCGACCGGCGAGGCCGACGAGTCATGGTGGGGCGGCGGCGCGCGACGGCAGCTAGCCCAGACCACGCAAGCGGAGCGGTGCGTGACGGTGACCGGAGAGTCGGGGTGGGGCTGCAGTGCGCGACGATGTCCGAGACGACACGAATGACAACGGTGAGGCAGTGGAGCCGTTGGTGGTTTCAGCCACTAGAGGGAGGGAGGGAGAGAGGAAGAAGAAGAGCTAAGGGGCATTTCCGTTCGGGATGGTATTTGAGCAAAAGACATGAGGATGGTATTATAGCGAAGCCCATTTAAGTAATGGTATTTGAGTGAATCTCATCTTATGCGATGGTAGATATGCAATTTTCTTGGAAGTTGAGAAGCCGAAAAGTGTTTTTCTAGCATTCAAATTAAAAAAAAGCAACCCCCAAACCCTAAACCGCTCGTGCGCCTTCCGCCGCCGCCGCGCGCGCCGTTTCCCCCCCCCCCCCCACCCACCCACCCCACACGCCCCGCCGGAGCTGTGCCAAACGGGGCCTTTGTCTCCTCTGCTCCTTGCGCCGCCAAGACGAGTCGTGGCTGAACAGAACACTAGAATAGGGGAGGGGCGGCGATCTCCATCTGGCGAGGAGAGCAGAGCAGGGGAGGGGATCTTGGTGAGCATCCACATCCTCTTTCTGATTCATCTCTCTCCCATCGGGACTACTTTTTTCTGGAATTTGCTTGCGTTCGTTCGTTAACCCTAGCTTCTCTTCTAGATCTGGATATTGTCAAGAATCAGCTTTCCCTTGCGGATGGCATTGAAGTTTCTAGCTTCTCAAAGTTCCAAGACCTTGGTGCTAATTCATTAGATACTGTCAGTCAACTGGATAATATGTGTTCTCTTTTGAAGTTTTTAATAGCCAAATTCAACTATTTCCGATAAGGTCCAAGTTAACACTCATTTATGAATCTTTTCAGAGTTACCTGATACTGCTACATAATGTACTGCTGTTTACAGGGTTCAAAGTTGGTGTTGAGAAGCACAGCACAGAGGTCATTGTGAAAAAAAAAATCTGGAAGCCTGCTTATAAATTCTGGAATCCAAGGATACTCGCTACTAAAGACAACTCAGGTATTTCTTCAACTTGCTTCTGTGATTCTCAGGCCATCGGTTACATGAGTGCTACAGCATGTTTATGGTGAACTTTTTGTCGTCTCTGGTTGAGTTTGCATGGTTTTGTATGGACTACTGTTGTAATGCACCGTAGTGACCTAGTTGCAATGTACCAGTATAACATGGAATGCTGTGGCTGTTTGTGTTGAAGCTGAGTGCCTATCTCTTTTCCAGATTAGATGCTGTGAAAATGGGTTGGTTGGGTGGCGTCCTCATATTTTGGTGCTCAGATTGACTTTTCTTGTTTGTGGGTATTATGTTTGGGATACTGGCCAAGGGAAATGGACAGAAATATGCTAGCTTTAGTGGACAGGGCCTGTCATCGTATTTGTTTATTCTATTGTTACCTTAAGTCCTTAACATATATGTTCTTCTGTTAAAAAATGCTAGCCTCTGATTATGCCTTCAGCCCTCCATGGCCTTGAAGTGCCTGTTGTCCTGTTGGATTCTGTACATTTCTTGTGGTGTAGTCTGGCAGCATTTCTTTTGTAATCAACTCAGATGCAGAGCCTGGCAGCCTGCACGGCAGCATATATATGCTTCTGCCTCTAAAGAATAAAACTAACGCTTAAACCTGGTTAGGCAGTATGCTTCTTTTCATACTGTCTTTGTTTTATGCTGTGTGCTTCTTTTCTTATTCAGTTTGGCAGTGATCATTGAACTGTGTCGTTTCTGTACTTAAGCACCCTCCCTTGCCGCCGTCCGCTACCATGGCTGAAATCGAAACTATCTCCAGCCTCGCCGACGCCGACGATGTCCTGGAAAACAGGGGGATCAATCAGGTTGAAGGGATCAATCAGGTTCAATTTCGTCTAGACGAGCAGATATCCCTCGTAGCTGCAACAGAAGTCAAGGTGAGGACCCGTCCTGGAAGGCTCGGATTCAGGTTGTTAAATCCTGAACTCATGGATTGCAAGTTCCAAACAAAGGTCAAGCTGGACGAGGCCTACGAGCGGATGTTCACAGAGTGTATGATTGAGTGTGACCAAGAGCTCGTCCCTCTCGAGGCCCACATCGCCGAGCTGAAGAGACTGTTGCTGCTGCCCAACAACGAGATTGAAGATATCGGACCCGATATTATGCAGAGGGGTCGAGGATTGCAGCAGGTGCTGTATCTGCATCCACCGGTATAACTCTCTTTTCATGCTCTCCCCCTCTTTTCTAAATCGTTTTTCAGTTTGTGTTTTTTTTTTCAGTTCTCTCTTTTTCTGAATATTATTTTTTTCCCAGTTTCCTTTGTATCCTGAGTACGAGTATCATCCTCCTCCGCAACCGCAAATACCGTACCAACCAGCATATGCCACTGCTAAAGAAAGAGAGAATGCAAGATCTCGAGACCGCCGTGCTCAGAGAGCGTGGTGGCATGCCAACCTTACTCTTCTGGAGACTAAGAAAAAGATCTTGGAAGGGAAAAGAATAGACCTGGAGAGAGGGCTGAGGTCTGAAATGAGGAAAGCTTTGGAGAGTCAATCTGACCTGGGGGCCGGTTATACCAACTACCATTTTCGCCATAGATAGGTAAGCCTTTGTGTGTTTCTTCTTAGATCTGTTGGTCTTCAATCTTCACTTCTTAGAATCAAATCGAATGGATGGATGGAGGGATGAACTGGGTGGCGGTTCTTGGGCATGGCTTCTGCTTTCGATTGAATTGTTTTTTGGATTAGGGCCTGCGGATTTTAGGATGTTTATGTATATGATGAATTATTTGATTTGAGTGATATAAAACACTATGAATTTTAGGATAAAGGGTCCTGTGTTTTCAATTTGCTCAGCAGTATGATCAGTGGCTTGGGAAGCGAAGCTGGCCATGCTGTTGTCAGGTGTCCCTTGCAGATATCTGCTGCAGGTAATGAGACAAAAAATTAGGTGTTCAGATTAGGAACAATGTAGGACCGTTGAACCAGAGTTGTAATTTCAGAAAATAGGCGCTCAAACATGATGCATCTATACTTAGTTAGAGCCCCTGCTAACCACTATTACCGATGCTTTAGATAAATGCTGCTGCTATTTTTTTTCATTGGGATCTATTCCGCGACTGTTTTAGTAATTCTACTAATTGAATTGAAATTTCCCAAAAGCAATCCTTCTGTTAAGCTTGGTTGGACTGAATAGCAGTTTTACCTTGGCCATCAGTGCTCACTTTGAGTTGTCAGATAATGAATAGCTCATCACTGATTTTTTTTTCAGAAAAAAGGTGCTCATATATGCATGCATAGATCTCTAGAAAAAACGGCTGGATAATGAATAGCTCATCACTTTCCTGTTGATTTGATGCAGGGGAGGAATAAGCTGGTTGGATGCATGATCAATGGGAAATCATGTTTAGTTTTCTCCCTAGATCATGATGCTTTGAACTCAAGCCCTGTTTGGATTCAGCTATAACAAGTTTTGTTGTGCAAGTAGTCACGTGATGTAACAAGTTTTGCCTCATGTTACAGATTTTGTAAGGATGCTTCTCTGGTAGCAATTTAATATCATGTTACAGATTTGCATACTTCAGTTGAGGTAGATGTGAGAGGCGACGTCTTGAATTCAAATTGTAGCAATTTTTCAGTTGAGGTAGATGTGAGAGGCGACGTCTTGAACTAAAGCAGCCTGGTTTGAGCACCTGCAAACAAAACCACACCTCCGGTTGTCGATCAATCAGCTTCTAGATTTGCCAAAATTAATATATGAAAATCTTGCAATGGTCGAGCACGTTTAATACACGTCTAATAAAACCATTTTCTATATACAGACTTAGAACATATTGTTTTTCTCAATTTTATCAAAATTATCTAATTGATTGTTGTGGTTTGTCAGATACACATTAAAACAAAACCCTGCTGAAATTATCTGAACTTCGCATTTTAACTCCACCTGCTGAATCACGGTAAAACAAAAACATTTTTTTCTCTGAACCTTGATGTTCATCGCCAAAGTTGGGTTAGGCAGTATCCAACACATGGGCCTAAATTATCCCTTTAGGCAATATACATACATATATACATATGAGGTAGTGTAAGACAAAAACATTTTTTCTCTGAACCTTGATGTTTATCGCCAAAGTTGGGTTAGGCAGTATCAAACATATGGGCCTAAATTGTCCCTTTAGGCAATATACATACATATGAGGTAGTGTAAGAGATAAAGGAATTTGGAGAGCAACAATATTTACAGTGCTCTGCTGTCTAAACAAATCGTTCCCTGCTTCAATTATCTTGAGACATGTGGTCTATACTCCGTCCATTTCAATAATCTTGAGACATGTTGTCTATAATCAGTCCATTACAATGCTCTCCAGTCTAAACAGGTGAAATGGATTGAAGCCATAACTCCTACTACGAGTATATGAAATAAGAGTATTAACAATGTATATATTTCTTACCAACAATATTGTAGATATGCAATACCAGCATGACGGCGTAGGCAGCGCCGTTGTAGGACACGACGTCGACGGAGCACTCAAAGTAGACCGGGGCCACCGGCGTCGGCTCCGGCGCGCCACCCACCCCGACGCCGCCGTGAGCAGAGAGAGAAGAGCGGGGAGGACACCGGCGCCGGCTCCGACACCGCCACCCGACCTAACGTCGCCGCCAGGGAAGGGAGAAAAAGGGGTAGAGGGCAGTGGGCGCCGGCTCCGATGCCGCCGCGAGGGGAAGGAGAAGAGGGGAGGGGTGCACGCGACGTCCCGTGCAAGGGCGGCGGACAATGAAGGAGAAGATGGTGCCGCACCCGTTGGCCTCCGCCGCTCCGTCGCTAGCGCCTATGGTGGTCATCCTCCTCCGTCGCGCCGTCTTCTCCAATCGCCAGATCCGACGGCGGCGTTAGATCTAGCCGCGGGCGTAGCCACCGCGCCAGATCGGGAGGGGAGGGCCGCCGCTGCCACCTCCCTCCCCCCTCCCGACAGAGCCGCCGCTCGTCCACCCTCCAAGCCGCCTCCGCCCTCCACCTCCGCTGGATTTGGGAGGAGGGAGGGGAGCCGCCGCTGGATCCACCCTTCGCGTAGCCATAGCCTAGAGCCGCTGCCGCCACAGGCCTTCGGTCGAATCCGCGCCGAGAGATGAGAGGTGGGATGGGAAGGGGGGTTTAGTGTAGGACGTTTTGCAGAAAACCCCCTATGGCTTTTACGTTTACAACGCTACCTCTGGAAGCGGAATTTTTGTATTTTTCATGGAATACAAGAGGTTATACGTAATAAATACAACGTGATGTCAGGTATATGTGATATTATGTGTAAACACGAGTTTTTTGCAAGACCCCCACAACGCCCAAAATTTCGTTTGACCGGTTACAGCTTACGAGCAGTCAACGTGTAAAGCAACGAGATAGCCAAAAAAAATTCGAAAAACGGAGAAAAAAGGAATGGTTAGGCTGGTAATTGGCTGATGATATGTAAATAAGGAATGGTTAGGCTGGTAATTGGCTTATGATATGTAAATCACTTTGTTGCAACGCACTAACATTATTTCTAGTAATTTAAAAGAAAAATTGTTTTAAATATCAGTGTGGATTGTAGAGTGAACTTTGGAGATAATAGGGTTTCGCGGCCCGGACAAAGGAGGCAGTAGGGTGCCCGAGGCGGCAGACATACGGATCGGGAGCAAAACCACATACTACGTCAACACAGGAAAACTTTTATAAAGCGCGGCACCGGTGACATTTGCAGCAGCTGCAACACAGCATAGATATGACATGATATTATACCATGGGCTGTCAAGACCAGCTTCTTAGCACATCTCACAAGTGCAAGGCAATGCTCAATCTCACAAGTGCAACATCATGAACATGCGCGTATCAGATAGCACCCAAGAAAAATAGGATAACATGCAAAACTATATTAACAGGAGTGACAAGTTAGTGTAGCCAGTACAATTAACCTGAATAAATGCATTCTCATGATACATATGTACACAATTTTAGGCCATTAAGAGAACTCACGGTTGCCACACACTTCAGCATTTACCAGAGTATCCCATCTATTATTCCAAAGGTACAGTTGTCTGAAATTTTGGAATATTAAGGTTCACATGGCAGTTTTCGAAGCACGTCAGCATCTCGGATTTGATACAGCGGCTGCAAACCAGAAACATCACAAATATCGTTTTAAATTAACAGCAGTCATGCCTGTAGAGACATTGCATTCAGTAAACGTGGATGTAGATGCTCAGATTCAAGGGTCTTTTTCTTTTATTGTTGGCAAAAATCAAGATGCATGGTGTGCAGTGGTGACTGATGCTAGTTAAGTTTCAAGATGCTCACGTTTGATGGGAGCAAACTAAGTGCAACCTACATATAGAGTATAGATGAGACAGCGGCGTGTATAACTGATCAAAAGCAGCATATAAGTAACTTTACCAGATATGATGACTGACTACAATATAAAGATGCATGTGAAGGTTACTAAACATGAAGCTCATAATGACAATCTAATAAAGCTAAAAGATTACCAGAATTTCGCCGCTTAACCCTAGGGCCTTGATAGAAATCTATGGAATCGCTGTACTTTTACAGCATAAGCTTTCACAAAATCCGCCTTTTCAGGTATGGTTCCACTAGATGAAACTCTCCTCTTTCTTATATGAAATAAGAAATCTTCAGTATCAAGGACATAGGAAACCTGCAAATAAGATATTGAGCATTACAAAATACAACATTAAAATGGTCAAAATGGTATCATGATCAATCAAAAGGGTTCTGCTAGATACAATGTTAACTTGCAATGGGGCACAAAATTCTCGCTAAAATTATGAGTACCTTTGAGGATTTGCAGGATATCTTGCATTCAAGACCATTAGTAACCATGAAAGCATCAATGGCCTTCAAAGAAGCTTGAGAGTCATCGTTTCCCCCACGCTTCCGTTTATTCCTGGGAAATGATGTCCAACAATGAAAATAGCCGTGGAAAGTAAAATTGAGACTCCAACATAAGATCAGGAAAGTACCTCCCAAGGAAGATATCGTCATACAATTTAGTATTAGAAATACTTGACAGATACTCATTATATAGATAAGACGAAAAATTTGGATCAATTGACACTGCAGTTACTTCAGGTTTTTCATGCCCATACTCCATTAGCTGAATTGATAATCTTGTAGGATTTGAACGCTGCAAATCACAAGGAAAACTGTGTCACATACATGGTCAAAAAATCCTTGTGCCACATAGCATTAGCAGATAAAGGCAGGAAAAAAAATTGTCAAAATTGCTAGCACCCCTTTTACAACGGTATTCAGGTTTCCCTTATACAATGGTATTCCCGTTTCTTGCAGAAGTATCACTCTATTTGTTGACCCTAGAAAACTAGACTGGTGGAGCCATGGAGGGTCTGAAACTCTGAATCGAAGGCATCTAAAGGCATTACAGAAGTCTCTGCACCAAGTCAGAACTACTAGCAAGAAAGAGGGTTTCTTTACTTCATAAAAACAGTTCAAACTTGTGTGCTCAACACCAATCCACCACTCCACAAGATACTCTGTTGCTGGATAAACATTTACAGGTGTGGTTTGTTTGCAGCATACTTTTGAAACATTGTTCTTCGCACAACCTAGTTGCTGATTGATCTCATGTAGTGAATTATAGATTTTTTTTTATATTTGATGATAGAAAATTTTGCACTTTTAACTTCAAAATATGGTAGTATATTTATTTGGCATTCGTCGCAGCAACAATATTGCATGGTAATAAGGCACTGCAAAAGTATCGAAATAAGAAACATGGATATTGTAAAAATACTTACCCGTTCAAATCGATATATGCTCTCATCATGGAGAAGTACACGCGCATTTTCATGATAAACTAGATCAAAGAATCTCCCAGGTGACCTGGATTTTTCGTATATGTAAAGTTGGAGCAGCTTGTTATCCATTTCGTCAGAAGCTATCGCTTGAAGCTGAAGAAAAGCAGGAAAAATTAATATTGTAGCAAATATGCACTAAAATGGATAGTATTTGTTAGGCAACTTGCCTGCTTTACAACTTTGTATATCAGCTTATCTAGAGTAAAAAGAACATATGACTGAGTCCCGATGATTGAACGGCAGTCATCTTCAAATTTGGTGTTGTCAGAAGAACCATCAAGCAAGTTATACAGTGCACTCATAAACCTGCACTAATAACACATTAGCTATCCATCACATGGAAGTTGTGGAAGCACAGTAAATAAGCAGAATTACTTTGAATATTGGTCTGGCAAGTTCGTATCCTTAGAAGCTTTCCATTTCTTTTCAGCTGAGGAGGAGTTAGTCTTAGCTGACAGTATTCTTTCATATAGGATCTGCAATCAACATGAGTTAGCCAAGAGAACAGGACAAATATGCAACAACAACAACAACAACAACAACAACAACAAAAAAACACCTTGCAAGAATATCAAGAAAAAGACCAAACCTGGTGTAGCCTGAACAAAACATAAAACGAGTCATTTCCATAAAATATACAAGAGAACTTCTCTTCATGATCATTTAAAGCTCTAGGAACATGCTTAGCAAGCGGTTTAACTGCATTGTGTGAGCGTTCTGAGAATGGAAGTGATATTCCTGCATCGGCATCTTGTGCCTCAGTGTTTTCCGCTGCCTCACCCTCACTTTCAGCCTTTGCATCAGGATCATCCTGATCCATATCATCTTCATCCTCATGATCTTCTCGAGAACACTCTTCACCATCACCAGATTCACTACCAGAGGCATCTTCACCAGCTTCAGATGCATTTTCACTGTCCTCCATCATCTGGGCACTTTCCTCACCTTCATCATCTGCATCAACATCATTCTCTCCAGCAAACTCGGTTGCATCCATAGGTCTACCCTGGAGGAGTCTCCTAGTAGAATCTTCCTTCGCTTTAGAAACTCCATCTACAGATACACCATCAAAAGGCCCAAAATTCTCCCCAACATCCCCATTAGGAGATAATTCCCCCTCTTCTCTTTCAACCTTTGAATGATTATGGGATCCACAATATTCATTAATTGGACAGTGTTTGTTGTCCTTGCTGTTGAAAGACCCTGGAATCCTAATTTCTCCACTCTGTGGACATGAGAATACACATGAACATAAGCTAAACATGAATTTCATGAATGCTTCTTCATAACAAAGAGGGGAACGTGCATTCCTCGTGAAATTAAGTAGTTTGGACACAAGATAATTGTAAGAATCTCATATAAATCAAGCAAATCCAGTTAAGAATGGCCATACCCCCATAATTGCTTCATTGCCACCCTTAGCTTCAGACACAACCTCACCTCCAGCTGGAGTAGCACTGCAAGCGTTTATACCTAATAGGCAAATGATGGCACTGAGAAAAGGCTATAGAATCATAATGAACAACTAGCTATGAAGCAGTGGAGCCTAAAAGATGAGCGTTATGAATATTTATGAGACATACAAACCTGGTTTAACCTCCATATTTGCTCTACTATGATTCTGTTCAGGCCGAGAAAGGTGACTGCTCTCCACTGATCTTTCAGTGGAAATGTTTTGTGCATATACCGCTGGAACCACATCAACAGCAGGAGTGGTATTTTGCAGCCTTCTATCTAACATAGTTTTAGGTCTTTCCTCATCCCTGCAAACAGTTCGTTCAGCATCCTGCAAGCTATTTTGCGCATCTGCTGCAACTCCACCCACCAATATAGCACGAGAACATGAAGCTTGTTCCTTTGGAACAATTTCATCACTATGAGCATGCTTAACAGTAACTGTGCCGTTTGTTGATGCATTATTAATTTCAACATTTGCAGGACCAGCCTTTGTGCTTCTGCTATTGTGTTTTTCATCTTCAACACCATGGCCTCGAGGATGAACACCCAAAATAGGCTCCAGAAATGTAGCCCAGATTTTCATCACTTTGTCAACTTGATCCGAAGAACTGCAGACTTCTCCACAAGAGTACTTGATGATCTGATAAAGATCTTCATGAATTTCTGGGTCTACATACTCAAATGACATATTGGGAACTATTGGCCGCCTATTCCCAGAAGCAATAGTAAGAAGCATATCATCCTCCTTCCTTTTCTTCTCATTAACTTCTTTGATTGCAGCTAATAGAGCTGCACAAGGGAAACAAAAGTAGTTTCAAAACATAAGTAAAGGCAACTAGACACTCATGATGATTTCTGTAGCACCATGTACAACCAAACATGTAGATATCAGGCACGCAAACCTTTTGTACTCAGATTCTTTGTGTCCTGTTGTTTGAAATAGAAGCTGCGATGATCAAGGGACTTGTGATAATTCTTAGCGTATATTTCAGCCCAAACTTTATTAAAATCTGACCGGCACCTTGACCATTCCTCTTGCTTTTGCTTAAGCCTAGTTAAAATAACTGGAAGTGCAACACTAGCGTTTTTGCGAAGAACATCCATGACATCAAGCCCATGGTCACCATATAACCGTTCAATACACCTCAGATTCAATGCTGTCAACAAAAATGAATTGTAGCCGTATTGTTCAATCATAACAAAGCACTCAAAAAAATATATACAACACAAGGGTATTGCATTTGCCAATTCACGTTGGCAGATACTTACGAGTCAAATGCTCGTCTATGCGTATAGGGCTGTCTGGTTTGATTGAGTTGTCCTGCATCTTTTCTATCAGCTCCTCAACACGCTTAATTGCCACAATAACAGATTCCAACAGCATGTCCAACTCAAATCTGAAAATTTAATTTCATGGAAAGCAATCATTATCCTAAGAGATACTACAGAAAAATGGCAAGATATGATGTCACTAGATGCAGCTATGGTTATGAATGATACAGTGTGGTGAACAAGAACACGTTGTTTCCGGTCCTTCCTACCAAATTCCAATTGTAAACCATATGAATTATGAGACTCTGCTAATAGATAACTGCTAGACATAGTCAATCATGAAAATGTAGTGAAGAACCTGTCATCTTCACATCTAAACAAGCTTTCTTCATACTGATTCTTCCGCATGTGCTTAAACGAATAATCCTCACTTCCTGAGGTCACAGACACCCAGAGATCATTGAGAACTGAGGCTCCAAGGTCAGTTCTGCAACTTGCAGGAGGCATTGGGTACTGAAAGAAAAACAACAGATGTTATGGACTAAATCATCACAAACTGCAGAGTTAAATCAGCTTACATTTTTAGGCAGAAGTCGGTAACTTGGAGTACACCGCTGACAATTTGAGAGGTCAAGTTCTGATATTGGCTTGCATAGGTTATACTTGTCTTTGCTAGAGAATGTAGTAGCTTTGTGGGTAGCGCCTTCCTTAGAATTGAGTGCAGATCCTTTTTCTACTATTTTAACTATTTGTGATGTTTTCCCTTCATTTCAAAATAATAATAATCATAATCTAATAATAAACAGGCTCTACAAATAGCATGAGAAATGAAATTCTAACTTCCTAAATTAACCGTTGCTTACTTTTACTGAAGACTCCCTCCAGAAAGGCATCTACAGAGTAAAGGAATTCTTTAGGAATCAAAAATGCAACATATTCAAACATGAAATCAAGAAAGTGTGCCCAACAAAGTAAAGGTGACAAATGAATCTATATATGCCACCTACCTATATTTTCGCACTGTTCCAGGAAGTCATTAAATCCATTCATAAGATCTGGATAGTGCTGCAGTATGTCGTTGACCTGAAAAGCAGCAAGGCTATTCTTGTTCAGAAATGTAGCATTAGGTTTATCACTTTAATTCAGATCTAGCAAGCTCTTATAAATCCCTGAGATAAGGGAATCATCCTTTAAAACACATCGATCCAGCTTACCAAGTTTTTCAATTCACTCCTTGTAATTATTTCCTGGCTGTATATGTGAAGGCATTTCAAAAACTCCTGGTAAGCTTCAGGCTCTAGCTTCTCCTTTACTTTCTCACAAAAACGGAACTCCTTTGTGTATGCACCTTAATTTGAATAAGAAATAAGAAAATAATCCAGTACATCAAAGAGGCAAGGCATTTCTTTACTTACATATTAATGAAATACACTAAGATGGAGGAAAACACAAGATGGATCCTAAAGTTAACGGAAAATAGGAGCCTGCAAGGCACTGAAGATGCCATATTGCACACATATTCACACAAGATGACATTAAGACTCACTCTTCAATGCATCCTTATCGTCGTATGGTGAAGTAGAGGTGCTAACCCCACCTTGTTGTGTGTCAGCAAGAGCACCATCCATCTTCCTTGCTAGTTTGCGCTTACGTTGTCCTCCATCCAAATCTTTGCTGTCATATTCAACGTCTTTCACGTCCGTTTCATAATCTTTTCTACTGCGATCAACCTTACCATCCCTTCCCTTGTCAACACGCCTTCTGTGGGGATCATCCTCAGGATCAGGGCGATCAATACTGAAGTCACGATCGACAGTTGATGGATAAGCCCTCTCCCTCTGGAGATGGATAAAACAACATTTCACCATAGATGTTCTTTTGTGACCAAATATAGCTAGTAAAATATAGAACTTGTGTCTAACAAAAAGTAGATTCAGAAAAATGATCCTAGTACAGAAAGTAGCTTTCATGTCCGATGCCAGTGCGTTTCAGCGGATCTCTGATATTCTATATCCATGTCCCCGAATCATGGAGCTAATGTCAATTAAATGTTTCAGTACTTATCCTAAAGATGATGTGATGTCATATAAACTTGTCAAGGTAGTTTACATTACGCCGCATTACGTTCTCTGCAGTACTTATCCTAAAGCTGATGTCATATAAACTTGTCAACGTATAAGGAAACATTCTCTAAAGTATATGCAATTTAACACGGGTAACAAGATGTCCGTTTCAAGATTTACCTTAATGATCTGCGCGTTCCTTGCCGAGGGCATTAGTGGGCCCCTGTCGTCGTGTCTGCTTGAAACACCTCTAGGAACAGTTACCGGTTCTGGAGCGGTTGACGTATCAGGCAAGAAATGCTTGAACTCCTCGAGTAAATCGGGATAGTCACGGAAGAGCGCTGCAACCTAACGACAAAAGGAGAGAGCCGGTAAGACAGAATTCTTCAAAAAGGCGTATACACAAGCGCCGAGGCAAGGTACGTACCTCCCCGTAAACATCTTGGATGGACTTGTTATGCAAGCGGTACATGTTGAGGATGCCTAAGAAGGACTTGTAGACGTGGTCCTCCTGCTGGAAGCGAGCCTGCAGCGGATGGGTGGCGGGTAAGTAGTAGAAGGTTCGTTTTATTTGGTTGAAGGGGTGGGGCGGGGCGGGGCGAGAAAGAGGAGGATGTGGAGACCTTGATCTTGTTGACGAAATTGATGGCCTCCATGAAGTCAACAGGCTTCTTCTCCAGGTCCTGGAGCTTGATGGCAAATCCCTTGGGCAAGAAGGCGTTGAAGCCAAGGATGAGCTCGTGGTGGCCATTGAAGAGGGTCTTGACACGGATGATGACGCCAGCGGTGTCGATCCTGCAAAATCATGTCCCTCGTGTGGTGTGTGTTAATAGGGGAAGGAATGGGTGGAAATGAAAGCGAGGGGGAGGGGGAGGGAAGGGACCTGCCGCTCTTGAAATCGCGCATGACCTCGAGGAACTCATCGTACTTGTCGCGCTTGTCCTGGAACTTATCCTTGACGGCCTTGAGGTAGAGAAGCGCGTCATTGGTGGTGAGCTTCTGGTTCTGGGAGGGCCCCTGCCCCTGCTGCGAGGGGGCGGGCGCGGGCGCGGGCGCCGGCATGGGCCTTGACGAGGCAGGCGATGATAAGGGTTAGGATTGTTGCATCGGCCGGCATACACCGCGCGCTCGCTCCCTCGCAAACAAGAAGAAGAAGAAGAAGAAGAAGAAGAAGAAGAAGAAGAAGAAGACACTTACGACGGATCGGATCGGGCGAGGTTAGGACGCTTGAGGTGCTGAGACGCCGTGGGCGCTGCCTTCATCACCCACCCATCCACCGACCAAGGCAGACGGATTCCCTTATGGCCACGGCCGCCTGGATCTGCCCGACCGCAAACCCTAACTTCTATCCTCCTCCTAACTACTCCTATACGAGTATCCTGGCTAGAGTAGAGGATCGATCGCCTTTCTCCCTTCCTTCCTTCCTTGCTTGTTAGGGAGGAAGGCCAACTAGTAGTATATTGAAGAAGAAGAAGAGCCCTCGAGAGACGAACAGAAGAAGAAGAAGAAACAGGGGAAATGGAGTGAAATGATGAAACCTCTTCCTTCGATCGCCTCGCCTGCCCTGCCTGCCTTCCCCTTTTTTGTGTTTTTGTTGATCAACAAGACAACCAGGCGGAGGCAAGGGTTCCCTTCCCTTCTCTTCCCTTCTTCTTAGCCTTACCTGGGCCGTCCGATCTCCGCCTGCTCATAGCTTGGGCTTTTTGGGCTGCCCCTTTGGCCTCCTCGCTTTTCTCCTTTCTTTTCTCTTTTTACAAAGGAATAAGTTCACCGGGGATCCTTCAACTTAAGAGCGAGATTTTTTAACGTCTCTTAACCACAAAACCAGAAATATATACCCCTAAATTCACACAAACCGTGGATTTAAGGTCATATAGCAGTATATATGGGTAGTTTCACTGACGTGGCATCCTAGTCAGAAAAAAAATTAAAAAAATACGTGGAGCCCACATGTCAGCCGCCCTCTCTTCTTTTCTTCTCCTTCTCTTCTCTCTTCTCTCTTCTTTTCTTTGCTGAGGGGAGGCCGGCCGCGGGTGGCGGGCGGAGCGACGGTGGGCGAGCATGCGAGCGCAGCGGTGACGGGCACCGGGAGTAAATACTTAAAATTTTAAAAATTACAATATTAATAATAGCTGGTGCAACAAATTAGTTACCCATGCTGACAGCCTTGATCATAGTCTACCTGTGCATATATCTATGCATGTTTTCTCAAATGTGACTGCTCTGGCTTGGAAAAGACGAATACGGAGACTAATTATTCTAGAAGCATGCATTTTTCAAGCAAATTAATTGCTACCCACTGACGGCCTAACTTTTCTCCGTTCAATAGAGTCAAAAAATCAACAAGTTTTTTCCTTTCAAAAAAAATCAACAAGTTTTTATTCATGGAAATTAATTTGTGACTGCCTAACTTTTCTTTCCTTAATTCCAAATTTAACAAATGTGTATATCGATCTCTAGAACATTGCAAAATTATGCAATTTGACCCATATGCACATATTATTATTTTCATGTTTTTCTTCAATGGGATATACTACGAACATTCAAAAGAATATAATCAAATTAAGTCCGAATAGTAACTGCAACCCCGTACAACTTGTTTTTAACATAGGGGCTCAGTCTTCCGAATATGATCATAGGGATATGGTGTATGTGTGTGTTTATAGAGGTGAGTGTACATGTATTCTGAACGCATGTTTTATACTGTGTTTTTAAAAAAATAGATGGTAAATAGGATTTAAGTAAACTAGTTGGCACTCTGCGCCTTGTCGCGGGATTCGTCATTTTAACATCAAACAAAATGCAAGTTATTACGACACTAAAGAGTCATTTAATTCATGCTTTATTTTCTGCATATATAAAATTCATTTATGTATACCATAAGTGATAATGTATCTTTATTAAATAAAAAATTGTCGCGGGTATGGTGTAGTTCAGAACTTCATATTTGATTTTTAGATTTCCAAAACGGTTTTTAAGTACCATATGTGCTTTGTGTTATTTGCCTCCTACTAAAAGTTGACACTCATTTCTCTTAAATAATTTTATTTTCAAAAAAATATTTTAAAAGTTACTGGCAACTAAAGTTTTAAATGGCTAAATGGACCTTATCCAAAATGCCTAGAACTCGTAACCATAATTTCTAATTTCTAGTGTAAAACTGTAAAAACTTACTCTCTTGTCGGTGTTGTTATTGTTTTTGTTGCTATGGCATTTCCATGTATCCAGTGTAATAAATGTGCAAGCTTCACATAACCGAAACCGCTTAAACCCACTCTTGAGTGGTTTCCCCAGTATTTGCAAAAATCATTTAAAACCTAGACCACCAGTGAAATTCGACCAAAATTTATTAAAAAATTAAACATCAGTTTAATTTATTCTTTTTAACTTGACGGAAACGATCCTAATTAGTGCGTACGCGCGTGGAAGTTAAGTCACGTGCATTTTTCTGGCCTCTACCCTCACGTGTGTTTTTCTTTTCTTTTTCTCAGCACGTTTTTCTTTTTCTCCGCAACAAAGCAAGATCGGCGAAAAATGTTCCTATTTTTAGGAAAAACTAACGTAGCGCGTGCTTCACAATTAGTTAAACCTAACTAACTAAATTAGTTTTAGATAATGACGCTAATTAAGATAAGATTTTTCTTTTCTCGAAAGTTTTTAACTAATAGATTGAAAACTTTCAACTTAAGATTTAAACCATGAAGTTAAATTTTAAAATCTTTCAACTCAAACTTTGAAAATTTTTAGCTCAAAATTTAAATTTGCAAGACAAATTTTGAAAACTTTCAACTCAAATTTAAAAATTTTCAACTCAGATTTGAAAATTTTCAACTCGAGATTTGAAAACTTTCAAATCGTGATTTGAAAACTTTCAACGGAAGACCTACGTTGCTTTCCACCTCGAACGAACGACCACCGCCTGCAACGTGGCAACAAGTAGGTACGTGTGCTACGTATGTCAAATACTGCATGGGTGCATCCATGAATCTATATATATATATATATATATATATATATATAATCTACATCTATAACTAATTAAAAAATACTTAAGGTTTTCGGTAGTTATTTTCGTCCATCTCTTTTTTTCTTTTCTTTTTTCCCCTATTTTTCCTTTTTTTCGTTCCGTCCAATTCTTTTCTAACTAACTAATAATTAAAAAATACGTAAGGTTTTCTATAGTTGTTTTCGTCCGTCTCTTTTTTCTTGTTTTTCTCTTTTTTTTCCGCTTTTTCTTTTTTTTTCTGTTCCGCACGCTTTTTTTCCTTTTTTTCACCGCTTTTTTCCTTCACCTTTCTTTTTACCTTTTCTCATCCGCCCTTTTTCTGTCCATGTTATTTTTGCCGTTTTCCCTTTTTTTATAATGCTGATATAGGTTTTATTATAGCTATTTTTTAGGTTGCTTTTTTAGTAGCTATTTTTTACGTTGCTTTCTTTCATACGCTCGTAAGTATTCATTTTTTTCTCGGCCGGGTTTTTTGTCGCCGGACCAAACCCTAGCACCCACCGCCACCACTATGATCTTTCTCTCCTTGCTTTCCCTTCTCTAATTTATTGCAAAAATCGATTCCCCACTGCTCCTTCATTATTTTTCCCATGATTTTTCCTTTCAATTCCACTTTAATGTACTGGATCGAATCTCCATTTAAAAATCACCATTTTTATCCCTGAGTTTATGGATTTGCTCCTATTTGATAAAAACGGAAAGAGCAGATCGAGGGTATCAAAAGCCCTCAATCTGGTGAGATCGAGAAAAATCCGATCAGATTTGATGGGAGGATCGGTTCTAGCATTATAGTGACATGAGACGTCTTCCAGATATTGAAGACAGCAATCAGCTATGCGAGTCTTCTAGAAATTGATGACGGCAGTCGGCTATGCGAATTGGGCCTACAGCTCCACTTGTGGGCTAGGTCAAAGAGAGATAGACTAATCAGAGGAAGGTAACGGGCTAGGCTGGGACTGAAAAGGAAGGAATAAATGAGCTTTTAGCCCAAAGCAAAGAGTATAATGTATGCGATCCAAAAATGCTTTTATCCGTTGCAACGCGTGGGCATTTTTGTAGTGAAAGGAAAAAAATGGAGAGTGGCTGAAAAATCGACTGTAATAGGAACAAAAGTCTATCGAGATAAATTTAGCTAAACCATATTACTTCCTCTCTAGGGCGGAGGTAGAGAATGGGAGGTGGTGCCCCCACAATATAAATTTAGGCACCCGCATCTGCTTAAACGTGATTTAAAATAGAGTAAATTAAGCAAGTGGCATTCTTCTTCATTTCATTCTAGCTCCGCCTAGTTCCTCTGTTCCATATTGATTATCATATAAAAAATTAAAAATTTGATGAGACCATCACTCTTTTGTATATGAAAGTGGGAGAATCAAGAAGTACTTGGAAAGAGGCTAGGAGATGGAGATCCAATTCAAATCAAGTTCAAGCCCACCTCGAGATCTAGGAGTAGTATGCATTAAAATCATTGTCCAGATCTCATTCGGACTTAGTTTTCGACGTTCTATGCATACATGGAAAGCTAATTAGACTACCTTCCAATGGACCTGATCTTACGTAGAAATTCCTTCCAAGTCAACAAAAATCGTCAAAACAAGTTGGTGTCTAGAATTTGTCCAGGTGGGTTGTCACTATCTTTTGGGTCATCGGCCCATGTATCGTGTTGAAATCTATTATGTACGCGTCTAGGGGTCCTTGGTCGACCCTAGAACCTATTTATTTAAAAATTAATGAATTAGGAGGGCTTTGCTTAGATTATTCTGCTATTGCAATTTCGCTGCTTAGTTTGGTATATGGCTTCAATATTTGCCATATATTCATATTGTTTTTTCTACTCTCTTGCTTGTGCTCTCGATTCGCTTGCAGGAGATAACCTACTTGACGATGTCAACCGCATTTCGGTACGATTGATAACCAATAGAGCAGTGTTGTAGTGATTGAGAGGGGATCAATCGTTCTGGCCGGAACCTTTTGAATCATCAACGTTGAGTTCTCCACAATCAACTTATCAATACATATCATTTGATCAGGATCTAGTTACTCATATCAAAAGAGGGTAGTAAAACTCTTATTATTTCTTGTGTATGGGGAGTTAAAAGTCTACATGTTTCTTGATTTTTCTTCACCTCGTACTTACATTAAATGAAATGTGAGGAAGTTAAGGCTTCCTTTATCTTAATGAAAAGCTTATATAATGATGAATATGGAACATAGTAAAGCTGTGTTTAGTTCCACGTTAAAATTGGAAGTTTGAAGAAATTGAAACGATATGACAGAAAAGGTGTGTAGGAAAGTTCAATGTGACGGAAAAGTTGAAAGTTTGAAGAAAAAAGTTAGAATCTAAACAGGGCCTAAGTATCTCATAAATTTTGCTACTGTCAAATAAAATATGGATAGATGTCACACCCTGAAGTTTCCCCCCTTTTCTTGCTTTAAAAATTGGTTAAATAAATTGCCCGAAGAAATTATCTTAATTAACCTAGAGCTAAATCCCTAATTAATAAATGCAATTAATAATCGGAAATAGCGTGGTGGAATTTTTCTTGAGTTCCCCATGCTCCAATGCATTAACAAGATTTTTAGTGGAATTTTCAGAGCCTTGGAAATAAT